GGAGGAGGAGGGGGAAGGAAGGAAAAGAAAATAGAAGTTTGAAGGATCCTACACATATGGGGCTTTAAAAATAGTTGTCAGAAGCTCTGAAGTAGAATAAAAAGTAAAGAAGACAACATAAGAAGAGTAAAAAAGGGGAGCAAACTGAATAAAGTCTTAGATTRAATTCTGAGAAGAAGAAATAAATGAGAAAAACTCAGACTAAATGAAAAGAAACTATGACTGTCAAGTTGTGTAGAATGGTTAAGAGAGGATATTTAAAGGAGACATGGGGTACAATGAGACAGACATTATTACCCTGTATACATGTATGATTATGATTACACTACTRGAGTAACTCTGCACCAATTACAGCCAGAGGAATGAGAAGTTGTGCTTAATTTGTGTGCAATGTATCAAAATGCATTCTACTGTAAATTAATTAATTAATTTTTAAAAAGAGAAACATTGGGAAGAGATGGGGTCAGAAGAGTGGAATGGAAAGAAGAAAATCTGTAGGATGGATAATTTTTATCTCCCCTTTTCCTAACTAAAAACAGGACTGATAAAATGTGGTGAGGGGAGTTCAGCTGTCTTATTGTAGAGGGCAAATTTTGCAAACAGGAACTGATTGTCCCTTTAGGCTTAGTCATGTCTCCAGAGATTCCATGTCTTGGTATAGAGCTTAAGAACTTCTAGAGGGTTAATTGGGGTGAGCAGTGTCAATGGGATTGGACTATTAAGCCCCTATAGTGGAAGCAAGATGGAAGTGGGGACTAATATCTACTGTATTCATAGGCAAGGAAGGAGAATCCTTTGACAGTGGAAATCCATGGAAACAACAGGGACTTCATTAAATAATTAAACTAAAAGCCTCTTCCTTTCTGTTGCCTCATTTTCCTTACTTTGTTTTGGTCAGCAAAAGTATTCAAACTTGTATCATCCTTAGGGTGATGTTGAGAAAGTATAATACTGGAATCTCTAATTTGTCAAGTGAATATGAAAGTTTTCTGACAATCTTCCCTCAGGCTTTTTCAGTTTTGTGAAAAAGAGAAAAAAGAAAATAATTTGGTCTAAATAAAGATAAGCCAAGTGAGAAATACTAGACTTTTTTCCTCCAGATAGTCCAAAAGAAAAGTTAGCTTACAAAAATATGAGGGAAAACATAGTGCAACCACATCAGGAATAGCAATGAGATAGTACAAAGAAAAAGATCTGACTGGGATTGTGGATCAAAAGTAGCAGKAAGCAAAAAAGTAAAACCACTCTCTTCCTCATATACTTTCTTAATTTTCCTATTTCTTCCACTTACTTTTTACCATGTCAGATAAAATATTTAATGAGATGTGAAAGATGTAAAATCAATTGGTCTTTCTGTGGTTCTTTGGATGCTCCTTATAAATAACATAAATCAATTCTCTCTTCTAACTCCCCTAACCAAGCCTGTGGCAAAGGGAAGCTAACAAGAAAATAAATAAATAAATAGTCTGTCTATCTCTATTTTGTTTACTTTCAAAGTATATMTTTTATTTATTTATTTAATTYRATGCTTAGGTTCCAAGGGTAATGCAAACACAAAAGGAATGCCGAATTATTCTCTAGCCATATTTATCCTTTCCCTTTAGCTGTTGGTTGAGGAACCTTTCAGAAATTTACTAGGAACTTAGGAAAACCTAAGATTACCAATTTCCTTTCCTTCAGTTATCCTCAGAACTCCCAGCTCTCAGTCTCCCTAAAAGCATTCTGGTGGCCCAAGGAAATTCATATACTTCCCAAASGAAGCAATTTATACAGGGAAGAAGGTGAATCATGCATTCTCCCCAGATCTATTCACTCAACCTGTCACACTATGAGAAATACAAAATGACAACATTTTGAACAACTCTTCACATTCAGTCATGAAGGAAATACCTTTAAAGAAACAATAAATAAAGAATTGATGAGGATTTACTATTTCTTTTTCCTCCAAAAGAGAAGAAACCAAAAAATTATTCCTCATAACTTACATTTCCATTCTGTAAATAGATCCTGCCCCTGAGGAATTAAAACACAGTAATGTGTGCTATTGATGTATAAATTAAACAAGTGCTCAATGGCACATCAAATAATTTATAGATAGCTCTATCTTAGCCTTTCATTACAGCCTATCAAAATCTCCATGCATTTATTCACTACTGACCWTACTATATTTTTTAATTCATTTTGTTTAGATTCAAAACTAGCAAGTGATTAGTACATGTTCATATATGTACAATAAAGCTCTGCATTCTGGTGATATGTTAACCAGAGAGGGAGTAAGTACAAGAGAATATTTGGAATGAGAATGCTTTTATGCACTTCCTGAGCCCATGTACATGCCTTTTCCATCATTATCCTTCATGTGATGAAAAGCAGGTGGTTGGGCAGTACAAACYGAATCACTGATGGCTTATGGGGAATGAAAACTGAAGATTTACCTCTGTGGTTTGAAAAGCACCCTACCAATGTGTTCACTATGTGAACAAATTTTAAATGAGCAAAATATCAAACCTAGAAGATGCAACAGATGAGTAGACTTTCATTTACAAAGCTACCTATTTGTTTATCTGTAGGTGCTACTCCAATTAATTAAATGCACTAATTGCTAACAAGTAATGAAAAATGTGCTAGGTGTCCATGAACAATTTTACAGTGAATTATCTGTATTTTAAAAGGAGAACTTCAAGGCTTATATTTTGTTTATTTTAATATATCCAACTGCTACAATTTTTATACTGTTTTCACAAAAGAAACGATGGTGACAGATCCTTGATTCATGAATCCATTGTTCTGGGACCACAAACATTGCTTCTATGGTTATTACATAGAAGCAAAGAGTTTAAACTAAAAGGTAGAAATGACATTTTGAGGTTTTTGTTGCTGTTCTGTAGCAGGTATTGATATCATTAAGTAGAATAAAATGGATCTTATAATACTTAGGACTTCAACAATCTACATAAGAATTCAATAAACCCCTACCATGTCCTAGACACTACATTTCATAAACACAAACATACTAATTTATTTATCACTTTTGAAAACAAATTTTCATTTCCTAGGAAGAAAATGAAATGTGGGATAAAATTGACCAAATTATAGTATATCCATGTATGACTATGTCACAACAAATTCCACTTTTATGTATAACTACAATGCACCAATAAAAAATAAATCAATAATTGTAGATCAAAGAGTAGAATAAAAATATCAGGAAGAGGGAGATGAAAAAGCAAGGGGCATCATACTGGGGATTGAAATGGAGAAAAGTGTGTTATATGCTTATGAATATGTCAAAATGAGCCCTCAAAATATGTAAAACTATAATATGCTAATAAAAATATTAAAACAGAAAAAAAGAAGCCTATAGTAATTATTAGCCTTGATGATTCCTTGTGAAAAACATTTGCTTTTAAAATCTACTTTCTATATTTATGTTCTGTTCTTTTTCACATTTAGCTTGATATTTTTAGCATTAACTGGTTCAATGCTGTTATGCTTTAGATGTGAGGAGTTCTCCAAAAACTCACGGGTGAGACAATATAAGAAGGTTCAAAGGAGAAATGTTTGGGTTGTGAGAGTCTTAACATAATAAGTGAATTAATCCATTGATAGGGATTAACTGAGTAGTAACTGAAAGTGGGTAGGATGGGGCTGGAGGAGATGGGTACTAGGGCTGGGGCTTTGGAGTATATATTTTGTATCTAGAGAGTGGAGTCTCTCTCTGTGCTTCCTGATCAAGTGAATTGCTTCCCTCTACCCCACTCTTATTCTGAACCCTGAGAAATGGAGCCTGCAGTCTGTGGACTGAGATTTCTGAACCCATGAGCCTYCAAATAAACTTTTTCCCCCTAAAATTGTTTTGTTTAGATCTTTTAGTCATAGGAGTGGAAAAACTGACTAAAACAAATGCCTTTAATACATCTTTCTTTGCTGCTTGCAAATAAAGGATAGACCTCTGAAATTGTAAGCCACCAATTAAACTATTCCTCCTCTATAATAGCTCTGGTTTGGTCTTTTAGTCACAGAAATGAAAAAGCACTAAAGTCAAGTGTTGGCTAAGAGTCAGACAGTGTAATATGAGAAGCATTCACCTCCCAACCTTTCAGACAGATCTAAGATGACTTGCAAACATTCTTCGCTCTTCTTMAACACTGCATAGCCTTCTTTTCACAACCATACTTCATACTTTCCATCACTCTTCTACAATCATAGCCATTCACTTTCTCTATTCCCTGAACATCCATTTTCTGCCTTAACTCAATGTGATCTGGTATTCCCCCACCACTTCATTAAACTGACTTTCATGAAGGTAGTTGAGAGATTGTCACTATTTACTAACCATGGTGAATGCTTGTAGTCCATGTCTACACTCTTACCCTCTTTGAGCACTTTAAATATAGAATGATCTTCATTTCTTGAGAAATTACTTTCTTACAAGTACCCTTCAATTACTGCTGTGCTTTATTTCTTTTTATGAGCATTTCTATTTTTTTTTTATTTTAGCAAGTAATTCTGATGCACTCTGCTAATGCAACCGTCACTCTGTACACACTCCAGGTTTTTTATTCTTTCCTTAATGAATCCAAAATCAGTACTTCTAGTCTAAATCTACTATATGAGCTCCAGAAGCCTATCCATCCAAGTGACTTTGGAACAGCTCCCTTTGACTGTCTACAAGTCTACAAGTGCTCCCATCCAAGAATGCACATACTCTTCGTTATCTTATCCCCATTCCCAACACAAAAGAAAGGTCCAGAAAAATAATTAAACAAAAACACGTAATAATTTTATAACAGGTCAAAAATACCCTCCCCTGCTTCAAATTTTTGCCTTGTTCTCCACCCCATGATTTTTCTATTTATTACTCAGGAAGTTCTTACATGCCATCTTTTAGAGTGTTATCATATCTGTCTTCACCCTCCTTAATCTTTGCTTTGGCTTTTGTTGTAGCATCCCCACCCCCTTTTCTAAATCTGATGTCAGTATTATAATTTTTATTTGTACAATAATACTTTTCCTTCCTTTTTAAAATTCTAATGTAAATTTCATCATATTGGCTATGCTTTGGCTTAAGACTTCTGTTGAGGTCAAGATAAAGCCTGTTCCTTAAAACGGGACATAATGCACTTCATGTTTTGTCCCCTTCCTTTAATAACTATAGTCTTTTTTCTTTTTTTTTTTACCACTCTCCCATTTGAAATCCAAATAAATCAAAGTATTTGTAACTTTCAATATTAATGTCTCTACTTTGATCTGTTTTGATCGCTCCACCTTATTTAAACCTCAAGACTGAGATAAATTTAATGTTGTCTGTGAAATTTTGGAGGATACTTAAAAGTTAAAAAAAAAGGTGTGTTCTTATGTGTGCAATCATAGCATTTTATTTATTTATTTATATTTTTTTTAAAGAGAGAGTGAGAGAGAGGGGGACAGAGAGAGAGAGAGAATTTTAACATTTATTTATGTTTTCTTAGTTCTCTGCAGACAAAACATCTTCATTTGTATGTGGTGCTGAGGATCAAACCCGGGCCGCACACACGCCAGGCGAGCGTGCTACCGCTTGAGCCACATCCCCAGCCCAATCATAGCATTTTATATTCATCTACATCTGTTTACATGGCAACCTGTCACTTGCTGTGGAAATATTGATTGGGTCCAGATTTTAGAAAGCCTTAAATGTCAGACAAAAAAACAATGTCATTTATTATGTAAACATTGATACTTGATTAGTGGTTCTTAATCAGGTCAATGATTCAAAAAAGAAAAAGCAAAGAACAAATGCCTATATGACATTTACTATATGTTAAGTACAATTCTGAGTATTTTATTATTTAATTTAATATTAATATTCTTCTTAAATCATTTTTTAGATTACTGTTTGGGAAATTGAGGCATAGATTGGTTAAGTGTTTTATATAAAATAAGACAAAAAAATGTTGATACTGGATTTTAATCAAGGTAATCTGGTTTAAATGTTCAGTAGTCACTGTGGGGAATGTTAAATAGTATTAGCATGATTAATAGCATTAGGAGGAATTTGAAAAAGTATAGGCAGGGAAAAACATTAAAAGGACATTTAACCCAGGCTTAAAATGGATGAACAGGAAAGATATTTCAAAGAATTGGGAGAATGATTAGCCAAAGAGGAGATAAATATGTGGGAAGGAGGCATCACAGAGATAGCATTAAGGTTTCCAGTCAAATCATTAAGAAAATGAGATCATGGGTAAAGCCAGATTGAGAAAAGGGGAGCACTTTAGATCTATAAATTCAGTATTACATATTTTGTTAGAAAAGTCCCAAGAACAGGCAGATTGAACTGTAGTAGTGAGAAAAAGACAAGAATTTAAAAGTCAATGAAGCAGTTGAAATGAAAAAATATAGTCATTACATTTAAATTCATTTTTAACTGATTTGTTAAAATTGTAGATGTCAGTGGGGTACCATGTGATGTTTTGATGTATTTACACATTTCATAAAGTATAATCTAGTCAAACATATTTACCACCTTAGGCATTTATCTCTTTGTGTGTGTGTGTGTGTGTGTGTGTGTATGTATGTATGTGTGTGTGCGCATCTTGAAAACTCAAAAATCCTCTGTTGGCTTTTTGAAACCCACACAGCATTATTATCTATAGTCATTCAACTGCACAATAGTGCACCAGAACTCCTTGATCATAACTAAATGCATATTAGTATCCATAGAACAACCCTTCCCTTCCCCTTCCCTCTTCTTCTCTCCCAAGCCTTTAGTAACAAATATTCTACTCTCAACTTCCCTGAACTCAACTATTTTACATTCCACTGATGAGTGAGATCATGAAGAACTCATCCCTCTATGCCTGGCTTATTTCACATAACATAATAATCTCCAGTTCCATTATAATATCATTTACCAAAATGTAGTCTATAGGTGTTATTAGGTGTTAAAACCTTGTTGCCCACTACTACAAATTTTGGAAAAGCTTAAGGCACACTTACTATAAAAATATTACTGGGTGATGCAAAAATAAAAAAGAAAGAAAGAAAGAAAATTTACCTTTACAGTCTAATTCATCAGAGTTGTCTCCACAATCATTTTCACCATCACATAACTTGCCATGAAGGATGCAACGACGATTGTAGCAAGGCTTAAAACCTCTTCGACAGCTTCTGTTTTCTTATAAATAAAAGTATAAAGTCATACTTAGAGGTCACATAGAAACACTTTTACAAGATGAAAATCACAGAGATTTCATTCATAATGACTGGATTTGGCTGTATAAAACAAGTACTGTGCATGTAGTATTAAAGGACTGGATATAATAGTCACCAAACCAAGGAGTAGTTCATTCAGTTAAGACCTTTTTTACTCAGTGTTTCAGACTTGGAGATATCCTAAAAATTACACCCAAAATATTGTCCTCTCACTCACACTGTTGTCAACTATCATAGGAGTAAACACATATCGCACATTAAATTCAGAAGAAATAAATATCTACCTTAAAAATAACAAAAACATCCCAGTGTTCATCATCCAACTCTTTTGTTCTGCAAAGGCTTTGTATAAAAAAAATAGAAAAGCAGAAAATCATGTATTCCTGAATTATCTGGCCAAAGAGTCACCTAAATATCAATAAATTTCTTTTATGATTATGCTCAAACTGTCTGTTCAATTTCCTAAGAAGATGAATTATCTTCTGAATTCTATTTACCTTAATGAAGGTCGTCTGACATTCTCTTATTTGGGGCAAAAGTTACTACTACTAATAACAGCTGTCATCTGCTCTCTTGCAGGCCTTTCCTGTTAACTTCCCCACCACATTAGGTGGCTGGAGGCAGGAGCTAGGAGGAGCCATCTCTGAGCTGGGCAAATAAGAGGGGACCCAACATGGCGGCAGGTGAGGAGGCAGCACTTTCAATGTGTCCGCAGTAACAGGATCAGAGACCCATTAATACACCTACATGCGACCTGCTGAGAAACTTCCAGCAAAATTCCTCTGAAAGGAGACCTGCCAGGAATTATGACTTCTTCCCTTCCCTTCTAATACCTTTCCTCCCAAGCATCAAATAAATTTATAGGAGTAAACAGTAACTCAGCAGTCAAACAGAACAAGAAGCAACATGAGCAGCTTCAAAAAGCAAGGAAGAAAAGGAGTACA